TTTTTTTTTTTTTTTTTTTTTTTTTTTTTTTGGTACCGGGGATCAAGGTTGTGTCCTTCTGCTTGCGAGGCAGGCACTGGAACTACTGAACTACATCCCTGGCCCACCCCAGCTTAATTCTTGAGTGAGTTAAGTAGTTGTGTGGCTTGGGCCACTCTCTGCCTGTCTGTCATGGTGCCCAAGTTTGGAGTGTGCCTATTGACAGCTCTGTCTATGCTGAAGTTCTGTTTCAGTGAGATTTGAGGCACTCTTCGGCCCCTGGGTTAGGATTGGTTTTCTGTCCTTTTAGAGTCTCCGGAAATCCCTGCCTGGCAGTGAGAGCCCTTCTCTGGGTGTGGTATCAGGGGTGGGGGGCGGCTGATCCCTGGCAGGGGAGGTTCACTGCGCGCATGCTGCCTCGATCCAGCCACTGCTGGCCTGGGATTAGAGGTGCATCTGTTCACCTTCTGGGGATCAACACCCAACCTAATGCTGCCCTGACCCTGCAAGTCAGCACTTATTAAGCTCTCTGCTGGGACCACTGAAGGTGAGCTCCAAGCCGCGGAGGGCACTGCCTTCTGGGGAAAGGGCTGCTGGTGTGGGCAACTGAATTTGGACGCAGAGGAGTGGTGCTAGGCGTAGCATTGGAGAGGTGGGGCATCTCAGACTTTGCCCGTAATCCCCACACTCTGGGAGGTAGAAACAGGAAGATGGCAAGCCTGGTAATTTAGCAATTTAGCAAGACCCTGTCTCAAAGGAGTAAACTAAATGTGGCAAAGTGTGCAGGCCCTGGGTTCAGACCCCAGTACCACGGAAAGTTTGTCTGCTGGAGGTCTGTGGCCAGCTGGGGGTTGGAGAGTTTTGTAGGCAAAAGGCCCTAGGTTGGACTTCCAGCACCAAAACAAACAAAATTGTATCTGAACAGTAATGAGGTGGGAGCTTAGATTTAGTTAGATCTGATAAATTTTGTAACAGAGCACTGAGTTTTTAAGTCCTTGCCAAACACCCTGACTCCTGGTATCAAAACAGTTCTGATTAAAAGTGTCAAAAGTGTGGGCCAGGGATTTAGCTGAGTGGTTCCGCTACCTACCTTGCAAGCACAAGATCCCAAGTTGGATCCCTAGTACCAAAAATAAAGTGTCAAAAGTCATCAAAACTGTGTTTTACTCAAGTTTTTTTTTTATTATTCATTAAGTTTATCGGTACATTTTAGGTATACAACATGATGACATTATCTGGTGTGCCAACAGCGCCTCACCTCCCCGCAGCCCTCATGCCGAGCTGCAGCCTCCACAGGGTGTCTGTGCCACCCCACCCGCTCAGCCTGCTGTCCCTGTGACTCAGTTCCTTTGCCTCTTCACATCCTGCCTGATTCTGTAGCACAGACAGCAGCCTATCCATGCACAGACCCTGACTTTACTGCAGCTGCGCGGTCATCTCTCTGTCACAGGAGGCCCAGTGCCACCTCCTGCTGACAGACAACCTGTGTTCCCCTTCAGCTAAGGAGAGAGCTGTGTATCCTCAGCTGGGTTTGCAACGAGACTGCCAGGGTAGAGCCTGCAGATTGCCACCTGCACAGGAGCCCAGCAGTCCGGGTTGATAGGAACCTGTGTCCATGTGTCCTCTGGGCTTGCACAGTTGGTCCAACATTCAGCTTCTTTTTTCCCTGCAAGTACATATGCTTTGTCTCAAGCAGTTGTCACATTTATGCTGCACTTCCCACTGGCTTGCTTGGTGAGGTTTCTGTGGCCCAGGGGACTGATTACTTACTCCAACTTTCAGGCTCCTGGTCAGCGCCTCACAGGATGGGAAACTCATCATCTGGGACAGCTACACCACAAACAAGGTAAGCTGCAGGGCCCTTCCCCGGCACCCCAGGATGGGCATGGTTTCCAGGGAGCTGGCGGTGGAAGGGCCAAGTACTCAGCTGATCTCTCCATGGCCTTACTCACGATGCTGTGCTTCCTGGGAGCTGGGTGCCTCCTAGGGTGTCCAGGAGACCTGCCTCCCACTCTGCTCAGTCTGGGAAGAATGCAGAAATCTGTGCAGCTTCTCACTTAGCTACTACCAGAGTTTTTTTTTTTTACAAGAGATAATCTGAGAGGCATTATACTTTGTAAATTAAATTACTTTTATAATTTAACCTCGTCAGGTATGGTGGCGCATGCCTATAATCCTAGCATTTGGGAGGCTGAGGCAGAGGATTGCTGTGAGTTAAGGCCAGCCCGGACAACACAGTAAGACTTTATCTCCAAAAACAAATAGAAAATCTAGCCTGTGATCTGGAATATATCTCAGAGGTAGAATGCTTGCTTGGCATGCACTGAGCTTGGGGCTGGACCCCCAGTGCCTCAAGCAAAATAAATGAAATTTGGCTGGGCACAAAGGCATGCATCTCTATATTCACAGCTTCTCGTGAGGCCAAGGCTCGAGAATTGATAGATCCCTGGAGTTGGAAGTGAGGCTGTACCACTGTACAATGTAAATCAACTTTGTCTCAAAAAAAGCAGGGGGCTGGGCCAGAGGGCTTCCCTAGCATGTGCAAGGTCCAGGCTCAGTAACCAGCACTACCAAAGTTAATCCAGGCTTGTCTTTTACTGCAAAGTTCTGTCATCGGTGCACACAGACAGGGACGTGGTCAAGCCAGGTTATTTCTTAGTGAGCAAGACTAGTGTGTATAGAAGGTTGCAGGCTGGTGTTTGCAGAACTGATGATGTCCTGCATGGTAGTTAAGTAAGAATATTTTATTTATTTAAATGGGTTCAAAGCCATTTTGACAGACTATTGCAGTGTTTCATGTCTTTTGATTAGGAGGCTGGTCAATCAGGAGGTACTGCTGTTGATGAATGTTGTGACTTTAGTAACTGATAAATTAAATTGACGATCCATGCATATGATCAGCCACGTATAAATTTCTCTTTAAGGGCTAAGGATTTAGCCCTGTGGTGCCGCCACCTGCCTCACAAGTGCAAGGTCCCGAGTTCAATCTCTGGTAACTCCCCCAAAAAAATTTCTCTTTAAAAAACTTTTAATTTTGGCCTTCATATTGCTCTGTCGTCACTCCTATGCAAATAAAGTTGAAAACTAGAAATAGAATCATAGTGTCAATAGTTGATGCTTATTTTTTTGAGACAGCGTCTTTTGTACTTTTTGTTTTTTACCTTTAAAAAAAATTTTTTGTGGTACCTGGATCAAACTCAGGACCTTGCGCTTGTGAGGCAAGCAGTGGAACCACTGAGCTAAATAAATCCCCAGCCCTGAGACAGGTTCTTGCTGTGTCGCCCACACTTGTTTCTGACTTCATGAGGTCTCCCGCACAGCATCAGCTGTCTGGGACCACTGTGCCTGGCTAGTGATGAATACGTCAGTGTGATGCTATTGCTGGTCTGTTGGCAGGTCCACGCCATCCCCCTGCGCTCCTCCTGGGTCATGACCTGTGCTTACGCCCCCTCTGGGAACTACGTAGCCTGTGGCGGCCTAGACAACATTTGCTCCATCTACAATCTGAAGACTCGCGAAGGAAACGTTCGTGTGAGCCGTGAGCTGGCAGGACACACAGGTACTGTGTTCCCATTAGGGACCCACAGACACTACTGCCTAGTGGGGTCGAGTTTGCTTTTGATACGCATTGTTACTAACCAATTAAATCAGTTTGGTAAAAGTTACAGGCATGGCTGGTGATGGTGATACACATTTATAGGCCCAGAATTCTGGGAGGCTGAGTCACGATACACAAGTTTGAGTCCAATACCAAGACTGTTGCAGGTAAAAAGGCTGGGAGCTATAAATGCAACCCTCAGTGCTGAAGCTCTGGATTCATTCCCCAGTACTGGGGGAAAAAAAAAAACAGCCCACCTGTTTTGCTGATTTCTGTTCTGCACTATTTCCTTTCTCTTCCCTTCTCCTCCCTCCCTCAGTTGGCTTTTAACTAAGTGACGGTGTGTTTGAAGAGCAGTTCTGATCAGTGTGGACCGTGGTGTATCCGGACAGCGGTGATGTGTGCTCTCTGGTTGTCTGTGTATACTTGTGTTTATTACAACAAGATTGTTGGTGTGTTTTGAAGAAATTAGGCTTCAAAATTTGAATAAATTCACAAAAATGTAAGCAGTCTTCTGCATTTACGCCTGTACTTGGCTCTGTGGCACTCTGCCCTCCTGCACATGTGCTGTTCATTGTCTTGTGCAGGAGCCCTGCCCTCAGACACCCAGACAATCAGGAAGCTATGAGTGGTGCATTGTAGCTTTTCCTGCAATTAATCCATGAGTTAGGCCTAAGAAGAAATTAACAAAAGTAGCTAATAGGAAAGTAGAATGATAACAACATGTGATAATGAAAGTTTTTTGAAACTTGTGAGTTTTGTTTTCATGGACTTCTCCATGCAGCATTTTCCCACTGGGTTGGCCGTGGGCGTCAGGCCTGGGGTGAGCAGGGGAGACTGCAGTTGGTGAGGTAGGTGCAGTGCTGATGGGGGCTCCTCGCTCTCCCTCATCTGAAAGTTTTATTTGGCCTTTTTTGCTTCCAGGGCCAAAGTGTGCATCCTAGGCAGGTGCTCCCACTAAGCTATGCCCAGCTCTGAGGGTTTTTTTGTTGTTGTTGTTTTTGTTGTTGTTGTTGTTGTTGTTTGAGACAAGGTATCACTGTGTACTTCAGGCTGGACTTGAACTCAGGCTTCCCAAGCACTAGGATTACAGGCGTGCAGCCCCACACCTGGTTTATTTTTATTCTTGAGCAGTGTTCTTCCTCAATACGTAGAATTTAAGGGTGACTTTTGACCTGTTCTTTTCCCTTTAAGCGCTTTAAAAATTTATTTTTGGCTTTATCAGTTTGTCTGTGATCTGCCTAGGTATGATATTTTTTATATTTATTGTGTATGTGGACTTTATGTTTTACTAAACTTGTGGGAGTTGAACGGCGTCCCTGGGTATCTATCTCCTTGGCCCTGTTCTCACTCCAGCATGCAGGTTTCCTGTCCCGTGATCTCTGCTCTCTGGGCTTCCCAGCCATCTCCGTGTACTTGGGTTTGTTCTTCATTGACTTTGCTCATCGCCTGCATGAAGCTAGACCGCCCAGCACTCTCTGCCAGGGGGATGAGGGAGGCATGTCCCCTACAGTTGCATAAACACAGCCAGAATTTAGATTTGTGAGCCTTTGGTGGCTTATATATGCAATATTGTTTTTCCATTCTAAAATTTCTCTTTGCTTCTATTTAAAAGTTGTTTTTATGTTCCTGTTAGGATTTCCTTTTTATTTAAAACAAGCTTATTTTATTTTGTATCTTGAGCAGTTATAATAACTGCCTTTAAAATTCGTATCTACCAATAGATGTGGTGGCACATGTCTTTTATCCTGTTTTGGAGGCTGAGGCAGGAGGAAGTTTGAGGCCAGCCTGAGCAACTTCATAAGATCCTGTCTCAAGATTTAAAAGGGGCTGGGCCCAGGGCTGCAGCCCAGTGATAGTGTCCCTGGGTTCTGTCCTCAATAGGGCCCAAAGAAATTCTTATCTCCTAATTGTAGTACCTACTGGTCGTCTCTGGGGATCTTTATTCTTTTTTTTTGCACCAGGGATCGAACTCGGGACCTTGCACTTGTGATATTATTGGGTGACATTTTGCTGTTTCATGGTGCGTGTAGCCATTTTGAATTACAGCCCAGACAAATGTCAGAGACTCTGGATTCTTTTGTGTCCCTCTGAGATACCCATGTTTTGTTTGCTTCGTTGGCCTGGGAAACTCTTTCCTTTATCAACAGCAGTGGATGCCTCCTCCTGTCCTCAGCAGGGGGTGGGGTCTGTGTCCTGCTTGTGGCTTCAGAGCCAGGTGTCTGGGTGGCTGTGTTCATGACTTGGGGTCCCCTGGCATTTGCTTTGGCTCCTCTCAGCAGCATTCCCAGCAGGCCATGTAGCCCTGAGGGACTGTCAGGAATGGCCCTTGGTGGTCATGGAGCACACGTGTGGGTGAATGGGCGAAGACCTCCCCATTGCAGAAACCGTGGCCCAGGATGTGGACCCGAGGCTGACCTCGAGGCCAGCACAGTGGGCGGTTCCAGGCCCTGTGAAACAACTGGCCAGGGAGTTCATTGACTGGGGCAGAGTGTTTGCCATGATTTTTTTTTTTTTTTTTTTT